CGAGCCGAGGCAACTTTGGTGATGACGGACACGTGGCCTTAGACAACGAGTCAGGGTTTCTTAAATTTTCCAAAATAAAACATTTAGGTGGCGACTCTGTATCTGGCAAAGCAGTCCATGTTTGGCACTTCTTTCAAAAAATCTGTTTTTAAAAACGATTTTCCAGATTTGGACTCTTTCATGATTCATCGGTCTTGCATTGCACTCTGTGAGATTAGTTACAGGACCGTGACTTTGAGTCCTAAACTGTAGTGAGCCCATATGAACAGAACGGGATTTCCCTCCCGGGACGTTCGGGGACGTCTACACAGAGTTGAAGAGACAGGAAGGCGAGATGAGAGGTCGGCCGAACAAATCGAGGAACCGAGCACTGGAATTAGTGCAGTTGACGTCTTGCAAACAACAGACCGAGAAAGGATCTACCCTGGTCGGATCATGTAATCCTGGTCACGCTTTTGCGAACGGAATTAAGGGGCAATTAAGAGGGAGATTTTATGAGCTGGAAATGGGCCATAGTAAGGGCCGGGCAAGTTGAAGGCCAAGCACGTTTGGGCCAGGATAGCTTTGGGCGTGCACGAAGATGGGGCTGCTCGGCTAAAGCCCAAGATCAAGCTACTTGAACTTGCACAGGCGGGAACCGTGCTACTTGCGTTGCTTGGCAGGAAGGCTCGCGCCTTTAGCTCGGCAGGAAGGCCTTTGTTTTACCAGCGTGACCTATTTCGAGCTCGGCTCTACCGGAATGCAACTGAGCTCAGTCGGTATGTAGCTCGGCTAGTGAGCATTCGGGCATGCGGCGCAGCACGGCCGTGTGAGGCCGAGGTGATTCCGCCGGCCTGCCGGGCTCTGCCAAGATATCCTGACAGTTTGGTTAGGTGATGATTGCTGGATTTGTGCTGACAGATGGGATAGCAGCACCACGTGTCGAGAGACTAATGGGAGTAGATTCGGGGTGCAGAAGGTATATAAGCGTGTCTGCTCCCCCTATGCTTGGACAGTTGATCAATTGGTGAGATACACTTAGACATTCAACTCTTTCCTCTCTCTCTCTATCCCTGAGTCTGTGCTAACTTGACCGTCGGAGGGGTTTTCCGGCCACACACCGCCGGGTAACTCACCGCCGTTGTGTTCGCAGGTCGATCGGATAGACAGGGAGCTTGGAAGAAAGAAGTACAGGCTCGCCGGAATATTTGCTCCCCGTACAGATGGGTAGAGAGAGAGAGAGAGAGAGTAGAGTAGGGATTGGTGGTTCTGGAATCAACGAGAGACAGAGAGATGGGAGAGACACAGAAATAATGATCAATCTGGACCGTTGGATTGTTTAATCTAATGGTGCTCTTTTGGAATTGAAATAAAAAAATTGAGCAACGACTTTTTTTTTTTTTTCCCCTCAAATTGAAAAATGTTTGAAACAGCTAGTTTTTGACGATTATAATTTAAACGAATAGAAAAAAAAATGTCATATTTTTACTCCTTATAAAACTAAACAACCAATCTCCATTTGAATACACATTATCTTCAGCCCCCCGTTTGGCATTCTAACTTGGGCTAAATAATCACATAAGGACCAAAAAAAGTTACAAAATCATAAAGTGCCAAAAAAGTTGAGTTGGGATGCAAAATTACTAAAATGACCCATATACAAACAAAAAGTCAAAAAAAGCACCATTCCAAAGAGGAGGGCAATTTTCTCATTCCAATGCCAAAAAGTCAAAAAAGCCAAACAAGAAAACCAAACAAACAAAAAAGTTTCAGGCTAAAAAAGTCAAAAAGCCAACTAAAAAAGTTATTGTCAAACGACTCCTAATCTACATAACTTTATTTTTTTGTATGTTTTTTCATACAATCGGTATGGAAGGTTTATCAAAAACAAAGAGAAAAAAAAATCATTCACCACTTGAAAAGATGTGGCAATTTGTAGAGTTTGGTGTCACATTACTAAAGACCCAATTGTTGGGAATTCGCCATCTCATGCTCATTTCTGGAAAAACAATTTTGAAAATTATTGCTCACTCAAAATAATCACTCAAGAACACAAATGTTTATCTCATCTCGATGACGTGTAATCATGAAATGTTACAACAAATTTCATGTCTGTTTGGTGCAAGTCGAAAATCTACACTCAAGTGGGATGTCTCAAATTGATATAGTAAAATTTCATCTTTATTTATTATGTTAGTTTTTTTTTATATATATATTTTGTCTTATATAAAAATTAATTAACTAATTAATTAAATATTTTATTGATACAGATGATTCAAGCAAAACTTTTATACCATCAAGATGAAAACAAATATTTTACTTTTGAATATTGTTGGTCAATCTTGCAAAACAATATCAGGTGGTAAGATGTAACTCCTACGAATAGAGTGAAGTCAAGGATACATACACCGTTTTTCCCTAATTTAGCCCTCGAATCCTGTATAGATAACTGCATTTCTCTTGAAGACTACAACAATCCGAGTGTTGGTAACAATCCAACTGTTGGTGATAATCCAATTGGTGAGAGTAGTATCTCTGCAAGGGCTAAAAGGCCTATGGGTAATAAATTTACAAAAGAATTGTTTCGAAAAAATGAATTTGTTCAAGCTGAAATCCACAAATATAACAATTTGTTGAAGACATTTAACCAACACTTTACTGAGAATGAAATAAAAAAAGCTGAAAAAGAAGAAAAAATGATTCAAGCATTGCATGAGATGAAAGAATTGGAGATCAAAAAGGAAAAACATTTGCAGGAGATGAGGGAACTTGAGATCAAAAAGGAAGAAAGTTTGATAATGACTATGGACATTTATCATTTGGATCCTTAAACGAAGGCGTATTACATAATGCGCAAAAATAAAATTTTTGCCAAGTGGTTCGCACATGCCAGCAACCCAAATTACTATTTTCCCCTGCCTCCTGATAAATAATTGTGAAAGAATGTAATTTTTAATTTTGCAATGTTATTTATTTTTCAATGTAATGAAGAGTATTTTTAATGTAGTTAATAATTTTTTTTAGAGGGGTTGAATAATAGATGGTTGTTAGTGAGTAGCTATGAAGCACGGGTACGAGTGCTGGTACTGGTACGATACGGGTACGTCGATACGGTAAATTCAAAAAAAGTAGGATACGGGTACAGCTTGGTACGCTTGTAAAAAAATATTTATTTTTAATTTATAGTAATGTAAAATTAATTAAATAATTTAATTTGTTAAGATTTAACCTATAATTAACATTTAATGCCAAAAGTAAATGTATAAATCAAAATTAAATGTCAATATATTTTATAAACCATAGTTTAATTTAAAAGCATGCTAAGTATAAAACTAAAAATAAAAAAGAAGTCTAGTTAAAGGGGTTTTATCTCTATAGTAGAAGAAAATATTATTTCAACTGAAGTACGGTACGGCTTGAGTATATAGTAGGTACGTCTGGGTACGTTAAAAATTAAGAAGAAAAAATTTGAGTACGTGTTTCGTGTACCCGGTACGTATGAAGAAGTACCATACGAGGTACCATACGAGGTACCATACGCCGGTAAGTACCCGGTACGGGTACAACTTGTTTCTTGAAGTACCCATGCATCATAGGTGAGTAGTTGGTGATTTTTTATTTTTTAATGTAGTTAATAAATTTTTTTTAAGTGATATAAACATTTGGTGGGGTGAATTATATTTAAACTTTTTTTTGAAAATTTTTCAATTTTTTTTCATTTTTTTATATTTGTCCAATCAAGTATAATGTAAATATAATTTTTTTACAAATAGTTGAAAAAACGTCACAAAAAATGAAAAAATAAAAAATTAATAAAAAACTTATATCCAAACAATACCTACAAACTTGAAAGAAAAATCGGTTAAGATTTACTAAAATAACATGTAACCATTAGAGCACCATTACTATAATTTAACAAAATAATACTATTCATTACCAAATTATAACAAAATGACAATACTATTTTAACAAATACCATTAAAAATGCTCAACAAAGGCTAATGATAAAACCAACTAAAAAACTAACACCAACTTAACATAGGAGACCTTAGGAGAGAGGTAAATGTTGTGTTAAAAACCTAAAGAGAGATATCTAACAATTATCATAAATCTCTAGGCAATTAGTTAATAAAATTATTTATTTTTCGACAAAAAAATTTATATTAACATTTTTTTAATAAAAAATGATAAGATTATCATTAATATGGGTAAGTGTGTAATTTTCATATTAACATTTTTACTTTTGAAAAATAATGCAGAAGTGTACAGACAAAAAAAATAACCCCAATAAAACATATGCATTTCAATATTAAATAAATAATATCATTTATCAACTCAGATAACTAATAAGTTATTAATAAAAACAAGATCAAAGGTGAATTAAAACCGTTCAGTATAATTTATTCAAAATAGAAATATTAATATCAATTGATAAAATGTGAAACAAAAACCACTAAAAGGTCAGCTTTTAACAACATACCAATAATAAAACCCTCTATTCTCCCAAAAATCAATAATACCCATGAATATCCAAATGAAATCATAATTAGAGGATAAAAACTTAAGAATGCCAATCAATAAACTTTATAATCTCAAGTAAACCAAAAATGAAAAACTAGGTTTTTTTCTTCTTTTTTTTTCTCTTTGAATCATCCTAACTCTCCACAGAGAGATCAACATAAATTTAAATGTGAAATACAGATGAATCTTTCAACAGTTGCAAGCAAAAGTGCTATGGCGACTAAGATATCCACCAAGTGAATCCAATGAAACTGCAATTGGCAGAATGACACATTTTCACAACCCATCTCCTCTGACTAATCCATCGATGAAGCAATCACCTCGGATAACCGGGTCTTATTTACTGAGGCCAGTTGTCTTACAAATGGGGCACAAATTCTTCTGCATCAGCCATTGCTTGATGCAATTAGAGTGGAATTCATGCCCACACTCCAGTGTTCCAATATCTTCTCCATCGTTGTATTCCTCCTGGATACCATCAAACAACAATGGCTGAACAAAAACCTCTAAAAAAAGACAAAAGGTAAGAGCAAGGATACGGGGAAAAATTGATCAATACCCGACATATACAGCATGGTTCCACTTCCAGCTGAGCACCCATTGCGATAGAAAAGTGCTTCCGCTGCTTCAGACGATTCAAAATGGTTTCTTCAGTCAAACCTGTATTCACATTTCCAATGCGCTCTTCCAGTGCTAACAACTCCTGGAAACCCAATAAATTAAGTAACAACATTGATATTTAGCAAAAACTATGTAAAAGAGGATTGTTTTCTTGTCCCCGGGTACATAACAAGATATTATTAATATTTATTATTTCCTTAAGCGGTGATAGAAAACAGTCACAAAACTAGTGTCGTAGTATTTCTCTTTGTGAAAAAATGGCTAGGAATTTTCTGCAACTTTTACCTCATAAGACATGTTGTCAACATCAAGCCGCATATCCCTGTGCCGATCATGAATATCGGCCATCCCAAAAAAGACAGACTGATCAAGGATCATAACATCCTAACATGAGCAGAAACACCCATTGAATGTTAGAAAAGCATGCATCATAAGAGAAAAAATTCACTTGTCTGTCAATAACTATAAGACCAACAATCATCTATGAACTTGTTATTCAACAACAGCAGCTCAAATGCTATTTATTTAGAAAAATAGCTAGCATTAATTTCATAACAAACTAATCAGCAAGCCTTTCCATTATTTTATTGATAGATTACAGGCCTTACCATCATCAGATTCAATCAATCTAATTAATTGTTCCTTTATATGATTTGGTATCCCATGTGTCGAACTATAGAAAAATGTTTACAGAGTCATTGTTCAAAGCTGTTGCAAGAGAAAGGTGTAAGGTGTAAGTGCTGCGATAGCATCTACAAGTGTGTTTTAGTTCAGTTCATATTGCTGGATAAAGTTTGTCCCTAAGCAATTTTTTGAGCCATTTGTAACCAGTCATCGCAAATGGATTATTCACAGAAGAATAGAAAAATGAACAGCGTATGGCTATTGCCTGCATATGTCAATGGTGAAGAGCTATGTTACATGGACTCAAATCCGGGGTGTCGGGTGCAATGCATGTCCAAGTGTCCGTTTTGTTTAATTCCCATATCCAATGACACAGGGACATGAGAAAAAATTCATATTTCTTAATATAATATTTAATTTTTCTAAGGTAAATAGTGATCACAAGATACCATGGACCATTTCATGCATAATATAGGGGTTCAATGCATAGTGTTAACAGTAACTAGAACACTAATTATGCTTAATAGGTGAATGCCCAAGTTCCTACACGTGTCAGACTCATTTACCCAGGTATCTGAGTGTCTAAAATGGGTACTTCATACATTTAAAAGAATCCATGTAACATAGGTGAAGAGTGACCATGACTTTATATGCCAATGCTAAACAGTTTTCAGTGTTGTGCTTGTTGACACTCGTAAAAAGACCAAATTCTGCCAAAAATCTAACCTCAAATCGCAAGCCCTCACCCCTACGCATGAGATCCAAGACATTACGAATCTGTTCCACACAAAATCAAAATGTTAGCTCACATTTTCAAGGAGCATTAAGATAGAAATTATTTCATGAACAAATATCTGGTGCATTTTCACAAAACTAATTACGGACTTGAATTTGAAACCAAACTCAGGATTTCAAGCTAAATATCTGGTAAAATTAATAATATACATGTGTTTAGAATTTCATATAAAAGATAAAACTATTGACAATCAATGCTTTTCCGTCTATCACATAAACCATGTGACACATTATTAATTATGTTATAATTGGAAACACCAACAGAATTAGAAGCCAATTAACTCACCCACCACCATTTCCTTTTCATTTTGAAGTAAATTTGCTTTCTGTGAAGAAATGGAAACTAATTTTCTTCACAGTGAACTTTCCCCTTTATCTATATAATATATATATATATATATGCATTTAAAATCCATATATAGTACTCGACATGTTTAAAACACAAACAAGGCATAAAATGATTTATCATGCAAGAAATCTAACAGAACCTTATATATATATATATTTGGAATGGTATCAGTAATCACTTCCAATAATCAAGCAGCCATAATTTGATTGGTTTAGGCCAGAACTAAATGCATCACCCAAAACTCAAACAACCTAATGTCTAGCCCAATGTCTCAAGCTCAACCAAATGCACCTTCTTCTCTTTTTTGTAGCTTAAATTGTTTCAGTTAGCCAGGATCAATTGAAATTAAAGAGAGTAAAAACCTAAAAGCAGGGAGAGGTGGAGATGAGATTAGAGAGTGATGAAAGTGGTAAGACAGGTTTACGAGGAGATAAAAGAAAAACAAAACATCATGGGTCCAATTGGGAAGAGTAAGGAGAAGGGGCAGCCAAGGTTTTCCCTATATTGCCAGTGATGGATGGAGAATGGGTGCAGCAAAATTCTAATGACTTTTGGATTTCTGGAGTCCAATGCTATGCTCCCATTGCCTTCCTACTATCTAGAAACTCTTTGATAAACCAATCATATTCATACATATTGCAAAATTAAGATGTAATAGTCAGGTCAGTAGGCTTTTCAGGCACCTCAACTTAGGTCAACAATAGTTGAGGTTGGTTGAGATTTTTAACTCAAGCCCACCCTAAGTGCAAGAACCTAGGGTAACATGGATAACATCCATTCTATAGTTCAAAGCATCTTGTAAGCAGCTTTCAAATAGTTGACAAGAACATAAAGCTCCATTCATAAATAACTGTAAATATAATCTCTCCATTCTCAAACAACCTCATCTTTTCTGTTATAATTAAAAGCTCCTACAAAAACACAGAAAATATTATACCCCAAAGTTAACCAGTCCTCATGTAGTATACAGTTCAATTCTGTTCGCATTCTACAAGCCAGATTTTCTTATATTTACAACTGAAAAGGAGGAGGAGGAGGAGGAGGATACATCAAAAAAGAAAACAAATAAATAATACATCCCAGGATTTAAGTCTCTGACTTCTGCATTTTCCCATTGTTGTATAGATTAGATGTGAAAGTGTATATATATATTCTGAATTTCTGTAATTCTCAAATAATTGAAACAGCCAACAAGAAATAAGTACACAAGCAATTCCTAAGAAATGAATGGGTACCACATACGACATCAAAAGAAGTCTTATAGAGTCAAAAAACTTCAAATTTCAGCATATTAATTAATGTTGCAGATGCATGAACCAGAGATGATCACAAATTGATTAGGCCAATTTCAGAAAGTAATTACCATTTTGAAATATTCGAGTGTAAGGTTTAACATTTACATTAATTATATTTAACAACAATAACAATGAAAAATAACAGTAATGAGTTACGATAATCATGACAGTACAGATCAAGCAATCACATGATATGAATCAGGACAGTTATTTTTCTTTTTAGAGTCGTCCCAAAAACTGGTATCAGGGTGCTGCAAATCCAATGTTACCTGGAACGTGGATCGTTTCGGTACAGAAAACGGGAACAGGAACAGGAACGGGAACGGGAACGGGAACGGGAACCGGGTACGCCACATACTCTAAATTGTGGTACAATAAAAGTAGACTTGTATATATTATACTTGCAAATTTAAAGTATTTTCAGAGTAATTTTCTTTTAACTATTAGGCATGTAATAAAATTTAGTTTTTCTTCATCATGTAGCAAGACATTTATGAGTATTATGACCCATTTTTTATGTTTTGTCTTGTCAAAACTTAACTTATCTTGATTTTAATTCATTATATTTGATTTTTTCCTCCTATGAAACATCAAAGGAAACATATTGGAAAAAACTTTTGAAGTCGTATTAGATTGCTGAATTTATAATTTTTAGAACGGAAGTGTACCATATTTTGAAACGTGCGTCCCAATATGTAATTCACTATGGTATTAGTGTTTTCTAGTACCATAGTGCAAATCATATAACACAATATTCTAGTTTCAAAAATTTCATAGGTAGATGATAGTTAATCAAGAACAAACCTCAGATACAAGCCTGCTTCTTCCTTCACTAGCAGCAGCCAAAGTTCGTAACGAGTAGGGAATTCCAAAAGCACCATCAAGTTGTCTCTCCAACAATATCCCCGACCTTGAGTGTGGCAGATGATGCCCTTGGTTACCAGCTGCAGACGGAAGTGGCATTTCTTGTGCGGAAGGGCCCGGGGGTATTGGAGAATTACTACTGCTTTGGCCTCCAGACTCGGAACCAGCAGAAGATAGCAATGATCGGCGAACAAACTCAGATAATCTTCGTGGATACCGTGGAGGGTTGCGATGAGGAACCCAATTAGGACCAGATAATGGCGGGACACCTGAACTCGAACCGGCCCGAGAAGTAGAAGCAACATTTCCAGCAACACTTATATTTCCACCTGTTAAACTCCAATTAGTTGAATTCTGAGCAGGATTTCTCATGTCATTTGCAGGTACAAACATAGGATGTTCTGAAATGTTTCTTGGCATGGTAATTGAGTCAGATTCCTCATTTAGCATAGCAGCTCTCTCTCCAGAACTTGATGAATGGCCAGCTCTAGAGCTAGAAGCTCCATTCCATCTAGATGAATGTGGAGTTCGGCGCAAAGCAGGAACGTGCACGACATTGGATTGTCTTTGAGAACTTGTATTGTCTGTTACAGAGGGTGACCTCATGTCCACAGAATTATTGTGGGGAAGAAGTCTTGACGATTGCTGCTGTGATGAAACATTAGAATGCCTGACAGAGCTCCTTGTTGAAAATAAGTGACCAGAATCTTGTTGGCGTGAAGGATTTATCCTCACACGGTAATTTCTGTGAGAACTTTCTGCATTTCCTGCAACATTCAAATTGAGGGGACTTTCAGAAGTAGCTCCTCCAGCACCCAGTCCAAGTCTCGAACTCACCTGTTCGGAAGGACCAACATGAAGAAGGTTTTCTGATGGGTTAGATACACTTAAGCTGCTTCCAGCATTGTACTGACCAGGGATGGCATGCCAAACATTACTGTCCACTGGCTGAAAGTAGCTCGAACTTCCACTCATAGAAGATTGCCCAGTATTTACTTCAAGAGCCTTTCTTTTACAGGATAAGCGCCGACCCTCCAATGGACAGCCTGGCCTTCCATCATTTTCTTCCACCAAATATCCACCACTTCCAGAAGGCAACCCAAAAGGATTGGAAGAACTACTAGCAGATGGGATTCGAGTAGTCTCTGATACATCAGACTTGTATGCATTAGAACAGTCCATAACTAGACAGTCATCGCCACCATGTCCAACAAATCCTGCATTCATGTTAAGATCCTGAGGAATAGCATTACTGGAACTTTGCACAAACAAAGGCACATTTGATAGCTGACTGCTACTATGGTTTACATTAACATTGTTTAGTGAAAGAGTATTAGCTGGTTCATATTGCTGTTCTTCTGACACAGGACCACCTCCACCACAAGGAACCATAGATGATGATGACCAACCATATTCTGTTTTCCGTTCATCATGACTGACATGGTTCTGTATGCCACTAGAACTCGGTTCACCTACATTCCATCCACTTAAATTCGGTCCTCCTTGATTCATGTTCAGATAAGTATTACCAGGGTGACTGGTTGATGCCAAGTAGTCTGGTAACATGTTATGCGCAGAATTCCGCATATTATTCCAGCAAATCTGCTGATCTATACCTGCATCACTTGATGTAGATCCATGATCAAACCCTAAGGTTTCAGGCAAGGAACCTACAGCACTCCTCTGCCCTTTCATTACGACTATGATGAACTCCGATTAAAAATCCTTACAGTACACAGCAGACCTGTAGCCACAAAAACAAAAATGAAATAAATAAAACATTGTGTGGATAACCTTTGCAGTAAGGATTGCACATGTCACATGTATATGAAAAAATGCCCTCTGACATAAGACCAGTGTGAACACAGACGATCACGGATGGAAGAGAAACTGCAATAATTTAACCCATCTATAGCTTCTGCTATAACAACCGAACAATGGGATTAACAATTTTGAAAATCCAACACTATCCTTCAATCCAGCCAAGTATTGACAGGTACTAGGAGCAATTAGTATTATAAGTTATTATGATATATCCCAGAAATACAAATTGCTATCTGACATTCAGGGAAATTACTATTTTTGTACAAACTTCCATAAGAATAACATAACATAAAGTAACAGTCTTCTTAAGTAAAATGAGAATAGGGATGACGAACATATAACAGAATAACATAATTCAACCGAGAAATAGTATATCAATAGACCACTAAATAACAATTTGCAAAAGCAAAAGCCAAAGACAGAATTATAAAATTTAATCTTGTCATTTTCCCTAATAACATGCTGCACAGGAACTCACTGTCATCTCCACTACTGCTGCTAACAAATTTCCTTTAAATGACAAAGGTTTATTCCCAAATAACTTGAAACCCATTACTGCAAAAGAGTCATATTGTTTCCTAAAAGCTTGAATGTCACCACAAGCTTAATATATGAATGTATCTGTTCAGGGTGTATTGAACTCAAATCTGTCAACTGCAGTTAGGTAGATAAGCACCTACAACCACAATCACAAACTAGAATTCACAGTGTTCTGAACATCAAACCTTTACACCAAAGTAAAGACCTGATGAAGCAAAACCAATCCACCAACAGCATTGCACTAAAACAACAATTCAAGGCTAATCTGAATCCCAAGGTGTCAGACAAGGATGAGTACAATCGATCTACTCCTAAATCACAACCAAATCAAATACATGTATATCCACACACAAAAAATTACAGAAAGATGGATATGGATAGAGAACAAACAATCTTATCAAAACATGTTTGGTGAACCTACCGAAGGTATCACGAGAATTTAATCGTCAAATCAGCTTTATCTCAAACAATCGAATGAGTCAAACAGCAAACAGAAACAAAAATAACGCAAAAAAAGGATAAAAAACACAGATTAAAAAGCCAAAATTTTAATCAGAGTCCGGTTCAAAGGCAAAAAAAAAAGAGGAACATATTGATGATTAAACCAAACACCGCCCAAAAAAAAAACAGGAAAAAAAATTAAAAATCAAGAAAAACATGAAGACGATCTTACGATCAAAGATCGGTGGAGAAATCGAGAGAAAAGGTACGAGCCTGATGAGAGCAGATAAGGCGGTGGATCTGCGGTCAAGACCTGAAAAACCAAAGCTTTGAGAAATGATCCTTTTGTTGTTTCTTTCTCTCTCTAGAGAAAAGGAGAGAGAGAGAGAGATTGGGAGACGGCAAAACTGACTGAGCAAATGGAGAGAGAGAAGAAGAAGAGAGAGAGGCTAGGGGGGTTTGCAAGGAAAGATGAGATGAGATGAGATGAGAATGAGAAATGTGTGTTGGGTGGTGGATTAAAGAGGACAGTAATCTTTAATTTACGAAATAACCTAGAAAGAGGGAGAGGCTCACAGTAGTTTCTTTTCGTCCAAACAGAGAATTGAATAAACAAACAACAAAGAAAGCCAAAGGGTGTCTGTCCTGTTGGGCCGCTCACCAAATGGCTCTTGTCTCCGTCTTTCCTCTTCTTCTTTTTCTTCCCTCTCTCTCTCTCTCACTTTCTCTCTCTAGAATTAAAACCCATCTTCCGATGTGCGCCGAACCCACCCCCAACCCATCTCTCTCGTTTCTTCGTCACGCCAAGCATCAGATATCTGTCCTCTCTCCACTTTACTGTTCGTTTCTTTTTTCAATTTTTTAATTCATTCAGACTCTCTGTAATAGTAATTAATTAATTTATTTATTTTGGCCAATTTTCGTCTCTCATAATTTGACTTAAGTGACAAGATTACATACATACTTGTTTTAAGGAAAATATTTAAAATTCACAAAAAAAAATTCTATAATTATATTTATAATAATGTAATATTAAAAAAATCTATAATTATACTTATAATAATGTAGTATTATACGTCTTTGTTATATATCTAATAATATAAAATTTCATTATCTTATCACAAAATTGTGAATATATTTATTGATTAGAAGTGTGAAGGTATAGAATAATATTAAGAATACTAAATAAATGACTAAATATCTTATATGGTGTGAAATTTATAATTTTGTAAACTCTACTCTTATATAAGATATTTGGTTATTTATTTAATAAAAAATTTAAAATTTATAACATTTTCAAAATCTATAACATTATTTCTTATTTTAAGCATGATATTTATGCACGTGGCATCACCTTGATTCTTCTGGTCCCACAATAAGCTGACTATAGATTTCCATACCAGAGATATCTTTTTTCTTTTCTACCGCTAAATTTATATATATATATATATATATTTAGGCCAAGTTTGGGGTATGTAAAAAAAATCAAAAAGTCAAAAAGTTATTCATAAAGTTAAAAAGTTAACATTATTTACCAAAAGTCAACAATTACGGCTGCACAACTCTCAATCATAATTTTCCTCTACAAACCAATTTTTACAATTTTTTATTACACATTTTCTTCGTGAAAAGTCAAAAAGTTAACCTAAACATCCATATTTTTTCCCTCAACCTTTTAGTCGAAAAAGATAAAAATTGCACTTATTTAGAACACCCCAAACAACACTTTAGATTACATCAATTAACATTTTTTTTCAAAATTTTTTTATTTTTTTTTATTTTTTTATAAAAATTTAAAAAGTACACTTATTTAAAATATTCTAAGCAAATTGGAAGTGAAAATTTTGGAAGAAAAGATATGAAAAAATTAATAAAATATATTTATATAAAATAATATAAATAATTAGATTTTTATGTATAAATTATGAAAAAAAATTAAAAATTATAATTTAAGTTTTATAATTTTATCATAATTTATGTATCAATTTTTAATTGGAAAATTTACCCATAAGTCCTAGTTTTTGAAACGTTGAACCATTTAGTCTTAAAAGTTTTCTTATGCTCCATTTAGTCCCATTTTTACATCAACATGATGTGAATGATGTAAATGATCTGATGTTTCATTCTATAATTTCAAAATTTATTGAAATCTGATGAATATTAGATGTTTTTCATCCTATATTTTCAAACATTATTGAAATTTGATGAACATTAGATGTTTGAAATCCAATGTTTGTAACATGACTCTGATGTTATTAACATTGTATCTGATGTTATTAACATTGTAATGGGACCTTTCAGTCTATAAGAAAACTTTTAGGACTAAACAGTGCATAAGTTATTAATTTGGGATTTATTGGTGCATCCCCCTTTTTAATTTGTCACAATTTCAATAATATAACTTTTAACCCCTAAGTTGTAAATTTGAACGAGCTAAACCTAAACAACTCAAGTTAAGCTTATAAATTTTTAAAGATTGTGTAACATAATTTTTAATTTGGTGAGAAACTATGTAAAATTCAAATTTTTGAATAAATTTGAATGGATTTGGGCAGACATCAAATAACTTGAGAAATCAAAAGAAAATTGTATATATAAACATATAAAATTATTTGCTAATTTATTGTTTTAATAATGAATAAGATTAATTAAAAATTAAATATTAATGAACAAAAGCAAATAGAAAGAGATCATCGAATAAGTTGATATTAAAGAAATTACATTTTATAATGGCATAAAATAATTTAAATATGATTTTTCAAAAATTGTTTTTAATTTTAAAATTACAATAAAATATTTAAATATAATAAAATTAAATTTCTTACAAAATAAAAGTATCTGTATAAAAAAAAAAAGTAAGAAGAAAATTTAGAATGCCATTCTCATTTGATCTGAAAATAATTATAGATGACCAGTAAATTATCACCTATAAATCTCATATTTTTAAAAAAATAAAAAAAAAAGATATTTCACAAACTATCACTTTTATTAAAAAAATAATATTTGTTTCCAGCAATTTGAGCCAAAAGTTTTTCATTTTTTATTTTAATTTGCTTAATTGACAATGAGATTATAAAAAAATTAACAGGGCCCACCAAGTTTTGCAAGTGTTAAAAAAAATCTAGATGAATAATAAGAAAAATGTTTGAGATCTACAAAAAAAAAAACAAAACAAAACAAAACAAAACAAAACAAAACCCACATTTTTTTTTTGAATTGAAAATAAAAAAAACCACATTTATATCCACAATAATATGATACCATATGTGTCAATTCTTAATTTGCTATACACTAATGACATGGGCCCAACTCCCTTTCCACATCATTGTGGATGAAAGTGTGTGTCTGTAGTATTGTTGGAATAATATATTATCACACGTAACTCCTATTTTTTTATTACATAAAATAAAAATAAGTTTCACCAACTATCACTTTTAATAGAAAAAAATATTTATTTTTATTTGATTTTAGCAAAAGTCATTTCTTAACTACTTAAGCCAAAAAAAATTATTATTTTTTATTTTAATTTGTTTAATTGACAATTGAGATTAAAAAATAATAATAAAATCCATTATGTTTGGTAATTGTTAAAAAAGTCATTCATTTTCTTAATATTTTTTTATTTTGTTAGAAAAATATTTTTATTAAACAAAATTAGTGGTTAAGTCCTTATAGTTTAGAAGGACATAATTTTTTTTATAAAATTTAAAACCAAAAATGACAAAAAATAAAAATATGGACCTTTAATAGTGATTTAATAATTTAAATACGTATATTTAATAACATATTATGTTTAGACGAATAATATTATGATACATGTGAATATTGATCTCATTCTAATCGTAGTAACATAATTTAAAAAATAAATTAAATTTAAAATTTTATTTTATAATTTAATAAAAGATGCATAAATTAGGGGATGAATATTTACTCTGGTAACATAATTTAAAGAAGAATCTAAATTTAAAAATTTATTTTAAGAATATAAAATTACTTTATAAACTAATCATATTGTGACAGATATTAACAAAAAATAAACAAAAAAAAAAAAGAATTGCAACTTTAAGCTTTAATAGGATGACAACATTTTGCAATTATAATAGTATATAAATTTTGTATGACGTTTTGAAACTCTCATAATATCTCTTTTTAAATGCATTTTTTTTTGTAAAATATATAAATAATCTCAAAATCATTGTTATTGTTCATAAATATAAAAATTATGAGCTAATTATAATAATTTTAAATTTGTATTTAAAACTTATAAATCATGGGATAAATCATTATAATTTTAAATTTATGTTGTGCTAATTTTAAATTTAAATTAATAGATTGCTTTTCGTATTTAGTAACCTTCAAATTTGAATTTTGAAATGAATTATTATACTTTTAATTTATTTTTATTTTTATATTTGATATATACTTTCCATTTGAAAGTTATAAATCAAGAGTTATTAATTTTTATTTATTTATTTATTTTTGCTTGAATAAGAGCTAGCCAATAGAAGATTTTTTTAATTTTTGAAAATTATAAAATTTAAATTGGGAACTTGGATTAGTATACTTTTTATTTTTCTAGATTTGATATATTTTTCATTTAAAAGTCATAAATCAAGTGATATTAATTTTTATTTATTTATTATTATTTTTGCCTGAATAAGAGCTAACCAATAGAAGATTTTTTTAATTTTTACAAATCAAAAAATCATAAAATTTAGATTAGAAATTTAAAACTTTCATAAGACTTATGGGTTAGAAACGCTATTTTCCTTATATAATATATAAATTATCCCGTTCATTTTTTTTTTTTTGGGGGGGGAACCCTTTCCGCATCAAACGGTGGAGAAATTATCCAATGAATATTCATTTGAAAGGTTTTTTTATTTTTATTTTTATTTTTTATAACCAAATTCATATAGTAATTGAAAATAATTAATCTTTCATACCCAAATTTTTGCCACAAAAAAATTACTGGGTAAATAGGATGTGTAAGTGTTTAATATGAATTATACATTAACTTTCTTGTTAAAATTTTAGACTAAATTATGGTTCTTTAGCTTTTTTTTTAATTGAAAAATAATTTATCTTCTGTCCAGGTATAAATTGAAGACTTCAATTCGAAAGCCTAGTCCGACTCTCAATTGTGTTACGTTAATTCTTTTTTGCAAACTAGAAGGGGGTGTGGGCTGCACATTTTTCACAAATTTCCATATTGTATTGCAACCCAAATTTATGATAAAACTAGAGGGATTACTTACCCCCGAACTTTGTACTCTTCTCCTTAATTTATATTCAATTATACTTTATCAAAATAATAATAACAATAATAATAATAATTCTTTTTTGTAAACTAGAAGTGGATCATGCTAATGACAAATTTAAAGACTATCAATAAATAATACAAAATATGAAAATTGTAAGGATATATTTTCTGAGTACCAACACGTGGCAAGGTGACGCCGACGTGTCAGCCGAGGTGCCACGTGTCCTGGTCGTGATGCCGAGGTGATCTCGGCAAGGCCGAGGTTATCTCCGAAGATATCGGAAACCGAGATAAGCGGATAAGGGACAAGAGTCCTAAAATAAAGAGGGAACTCAACTTGGATATGGACAAGAGTCCTAGATTGGGAGAAGACTTCAGTTTGGGTAAACTTCTATTGGGACTAGGTTTATGTTGGCTATAAAAGAGAGGCACCCCCATGGGTCTAAGGTATGTTTTTTGATACTCAAGCTTGTGAGTTTAGTACTTGATTTATCTTTGAGAGATATACTGACT